TATTCTTATTTAAATAAAAACCTTTCATAAATTTATTAATATCAAAAAAACTGATAACATCATTTTTGTAATATGTCATATTATATATTAGATTGTTCAATTTATGAATATAATTATTTTGCTCCGCCGTAAAGTAAACAGAATAAGGAAGTGCACAAAATATTATATTTTTTACAGTAAGACTTAAAAGTATTTCAAAGGATTTATTTATTTGTTTTTTGTGTACTCCCCCACTATTTCCAACTAATATTATAATTGTTGTATTTTTGGTAAATGACATTTCTATAATTTTATTTATAACTTGAGTGAAAGTGGCACCCGACATGCAATAATTAATAACTTTTTGGTTTAATTTGTAGTTTAAGTAAGTACCCACACCTTTTCCAACTTTATCTGAAAATACTATAACACAATCTTGGGATACTTCAGAATTTCGTAAAGTTGAAATTTTATTCTCTGTTATAATTGGAGAAAGTGGAACCGACTTACAATTAGAAGGTAAAGGTAACTTACTACAAGTGTAGTCGTTATTTACAAGGGACTTGTGTCTTTCTTCACTACATGTACACATATCAACGAGTTTATTTGCAGCTCATATATGTTCTGCTATTTGCTTTTTTGATATTTCATATTTCAGCGATGTTTCGTGAAGACTTTTTTGAAGTCGGGTAATCTCTAATTGCATGTTACCTACTTCAGCATCATATAACTGCATATTATTTCTATATATATCAATTTGCTCATATAAACTTCGATTGTCAGATTTAATTTTTAGCACATTACGATGATACTTCTTAATTTTTATTAATTTTTGCGTCTTTTTTATATATCTATTGATTTTAATATATTTCTTTATTTTATTTTTACTTAAACATATTTTGTTCCTGTCGTTATTTTTATTTAAATTATTTTGTAGATTGTCCCTGATGGTGTGTAACTCATAATTACTTGCTAATAATTCATCGTAGAGGTTATTTGTTTTATTTCTTAGGGAATATTGTCTACTCGCTTCATAATGATTAATGATATTGTTCGCCTTATACAGTTCAATTTCTAAGTCTGTGATTCGATCCAATGCCTCTTGATGTGTATCACTACACTGTTTGAATGACTCCACAATGGCACGAAGTGATTCACATTCAGACGTAATCTCAACATTTGTGGTGTGAAGATTACAAAGTTCTTGTTTTAAATTAGTATTCTTTTGAATGACACTTTTTATTTCCTCCTCACTGTCCTCACGTTCGTGCATTAGTTGGTCAGAAAGTTGCTTCAATGACTTAACTTCTTCAAGAGCTTCCCTCAATCTGGCTTCCATTGCCTGTGCAGTAGCCCTGCGGGTCGTGGTACCCATGGTCATCAGTTCAGTTCAAGCTTGTAATTTACTTGAGGAGCAAATATAATATTTATATAACAGAGGGTACTTTGAAAAAACAATCGTTGAAACCGTTAACAGCTGATTACACCATTTATATTAACTTGTGTTTTTATTAAAACTTGCTATTTTCTGTTGCTTTACATGCGATTCCAATAGGTGCATATATTACACTTATCAAATAAACACGTATGAAAAAATATTTTGAAGTTATTAAGTCTGTACTAATTACTTCAATTCTCACAACATCACTAATTATTTAAACATAACACTTTATTATTGGACATATTTTGATTAATTTCATGTATTTATTTATTAATTTAATTAATTGCAAACTAAGTTATTTTATGTCACTAATTTTTGTACCGGTCAATATAGACACGACCGCACGCTACGACGTTGAATCAAAAACTCTGACACGTGACGTTGAATCAAAAAACTGACAATTACATCAATTGAAATATTAATTAAACATTAAATTATTAATTAAAATGATAATTATTAATTAAAATGATAATTATTAATTAAAATGATAATTAATAATTAAAATGATAATTAATTATTAAAATGATTTGTTCATCAGCATTTATCACATTTTAATTTTAAAACTAATAATATATTAAAATACCGACTAGTCCTCCCAGAACCTAAAATAGAAATGTTTAGGGCAAGTCCCTACTACCGATCTATTATAATACACAACAAAATCCCGGAAACCATTAAACAAGAAGGTAAAATTAATATATTAAAAAAAAGGCTTAAAGAATTACTGACAGAAAGATTAAGCTTATTATACAGTAACAGATTTTTTAGCAGACGTACTGTTGTTGGAGCTAAGCAGACACTACAGCAGACTTAAATTTTAAATTTCATTTAAACAGAGTCCATATGTATATTGTTTTTTTTTATATATATAACACAGGGGACAACCGAGCATGCGGCTCACCTGATGGTAAGTGATTACCGCCGCCCATGAGCACCCGCAACAGGGGAATTGCCAGTACGTTGTCGGCCTTTTAAAAAGGAATAAGCTCTTTTCTTGAAGGTTTCGTAAGTTATAGTTTGTATGTTGATTTATTGTATGTATGCTTTTGCCCGCGGCTTCGCTCGTTAATTTATCCCCTTAGTGGTGGAATTTATCAAAATCCTTTCTTAGGGGATGACTACGTCATAGTAGCTTTATGCATGCAAAGTCTCAGCCTGATCGGTTTAAAATTGACAAAGTTTCATACAAACTTTCATCCCCTATTTTATCCCCTTGGGGGTAGAATGAATCAAAATCCTTTCTTAGCGGATGCCTACGTTATAACCTTTACCTGCATGCCAAATTTCAGCCCGATGCAACCCGTGGTTTGGGCTGTGCGTTGATAGATCACTATGTAAGTCACCTTTGAGTTATATATATTTAGATGCAATTATAAATAAATAAATAAAAATGATTGCCGCCCAACGAAATGGGTCCGATCAGCTAGTATATATATATATACCTAACAAAGTATATTTTATATAATATATAAAACTAACAAAGTTATGAACTCACTAGTCAATTACAAAATCGGAGCAGTCTATTTTCCGCCCCTTATATACTTGGTCCGTAGAAGCTAAACACGTTTGTAGTAGGTATAGTCTGCGGTTGTAATCCTCTTAAGTTTCACCCTGCCTCCCTCTGTAGGAATAACATATAATTTGTTGTGGGGAGGCTTAACACATATATTTTTATAACGTTACATTAACACAAAGGTGACGTGACATATTCAAAAGTTAATCGTAGTGCCTACATATTCTGAGAGCTTGATTTTAATTAATTAAATGGCAGCTAGCACATATTATACTAACTTGGACAAAATGGCGTCATATATATACATATATGATACTATAGAATTATGATATTATATTATGATAAAATTGAAGTGTTCGTTAACGATAATAATGTTTTTATAGAAAAACTTAAAATCCATAGCACTGACAATATTATCTGATTCCACTAATAATGAGTGCGTAGCGTTTCTATGTTGATTATCGCATGCCTCTTACTTGTTATATTGTAATTATTTATATATATATAATACACAAGTTTCTTGCTCATTCTTCTTGTGATGAATCTGCATTCCGAATGAGTGGTAGAATCAAAATATGACTATACAAAAGCGCTTGTACTGAGTTTATTTGAATAAATATTATTTATATTTCTATTTCTATTATATATACATGTAAATTCGAAATCTAATAAGTATAAATGAGATGAGCAGATGGCAATATTATATTTATACATATACCTAACAATATACTGTACACATTATATAATTAAAAATATTTTTAATCTCATTTTTTTATACTAGATTTACATGTAGGTAATAAAATACGGAAAATCCTTTTACTTATTTTAATTGCTAGTGTGTAATGCAGCTGCAACTGTCTGCGCCCGAGCTAGAGGCGAGAGATTTAATTGGAACACGTCCCTTCGGCCACAGATACAGTACAGTGGAGTCTGTGGCGGTGATATCTTATTTAAGAGGAGTGTGTCTAAATTATAAATCTATGTTGCAGATATACTTCACTGTTCGTCCTATTTATAGAATAAAATAGAATATAATAAACTCGTTTTACACAATCCTTACTTCCTTAATTCAAATATATATAACTCAAAGGTGACTGACGTAGTGATCTATCAACGCACAGCCCAAACCACTGGACGGATCGGGCTGAAATTTGGCATGCAGGTAGATGTTATGACGTAGGCATCCGTTAACAATGGATTTTGATTAATTCTACCTCCAAGGGGATAAAATAGGGGATGGAAGTTTGTATGAAACTTTGTCAATTTTAAACCGATCGGGCTGAGACTTTGCATGCATAAAGCTACTATGACGTAGGCCCCTAAGAAAGTATTTTGATAAATTCCACCCCTCAGGGGATAAATTAATGCAGCGAAGTGTTGTCTGTCCGTCCCTATGTATGCTTAAATCTTTAAAACTACGCAACGGATTTTGAAGCGTTTTTTTTTAATAGATAGTGATTCAAGAGGAAGGTTTATATGTATATTTTCATTATTCCGAAAAATTAGTATAATTCTAATGTCTTGAATTTTTAAAAAATGTACTGACTTGATTGTCTATGTCTATGACTGAGCTATAGGTCCTCATTTTTGGTAAGAGGTTTCCAACTTCCCCTTGAATCACTCTATCTTTTAAAAAACCCGCTTCAAAATCCGTTGCGTAGTTTTAAAGATTTAAGCATACATAGGGACGGACAGACAGTGACAGCGACTTTGTTTTATACTATGTGATGATGCCCTATCCCTTTCCCTTCTAAGTATGAACATGAAAGTATGAAGTTGTTTTTATTTAAAAAAATATACTGTCTTAGATTGTTGCTACGACTAATCAAAAGATAGATCTCACTCTCTCACTTTTTTAGTGAAGAAAAACCTCCAAAATATTTTTCCTTCTCACCCTTAATTATGCCCATGAAAGTATATTAACACTATATTATTATGTCAACTAAGTGTCAACAACGCGCACGTGACACCCCTGGTGTTTCAGGCGTCCATACCATAGGCTACGGTAACCATTTACCATCAGATGGGCCGTATGCTTGTTTGCCATGGAGATATAAAAAAACTTACCCATGATATAATAGAAGAGATGATAAGAAGAATACGCAAGCGAGCACATCGGCGCGTCCCACAACACCCGCTACCTGTAAAAAAAGAGAAATAATAAATTAAATAAATAAATCTCAGGACAATTCACACAGCGCCATCTAGACCCAAATTAAGCTAGCTAAAGCTTGTGTTATGGGTACTAGACAACTGATACAAATACATAGATATGTTTTTTTTACGTAAATACATAGAAAACACCCAGACCGATAAAAACAATCATACTCATGAATACAAATGTTTGTACCGTGCGAGGAATCGAATCCGCGACCATCGGAAGTGGAGCCTGTCAAAAAGATAGGTCTATCATCATCACCATCATCTGCTTCTTCCATATCCCATTTATTTGTGGTCGGCGTAATATGTTTTTCGCTTCCATTCATCTCTGTTCGCAGTCATCTCGTTATTTACTCCCTTTCTTACCATATCATCTTTCACACAGTCCATCCATCTCTTTCCTTCTCTGCCTTTATAACCATCCACATTGATATGTAACACCTTCCTTAAAATATTCTTCATTCCTACTTATTACATGTCCATACCACGACAGACAGATTCAGTTTATATTGTTATATATTTTTTATATAAATGAATATTTTTATGTAGCTAAATGGAATGACGCTCCTACCAATGGTAATGGTTAACCCTGGTGCACCAGCGGAGTATGATAAAATGATCATGAAGTGAGGTCAACGTCACATATTCAGCATGACCAAATCAGTTCTATCTACCTTTACTGTCTATCTATCTATGTTCTATCTACCTACTGTCTTTAAATAGAACCACGATATTGTGTGCACGGTCCAGCTCGAAGTGTAAAGTAGCTACAAACAATTAAGAGAAACTTCTCTTCTCTTCTTCCGTCGTTTATAAACTCTTTTTCATTACGGGGCGGCAGCAGCAATGATCAACGAAGACTATGAGACAGCCGAATTGAGAACCTCCTCCTATTTTGGAGTCAGTCAAAATAGTGCTATTTAGAGAGATATTTATAGTACACTAGCTGGTACCATCCACGTTAAATTTGAATAAAAAATATAGCCTATATGTTATTCTGATGCATAACCTACATTACTGTAAAGTTTCATCAAAATCCGTTCAGTAGTTTTTGCGTGAAAGAGTAACAAATATCCGTACTTACAAACTTTCGCGTTTATAATATTACTACTAGCTTTTACCCGCGGCTTCGTTCGCATTGAATCAAAAATATATGTATTATATATACAAATCTTCCTCTATCTATTAAAAAAAACAGCTTCAAAATCCGTTGCGTAGTTTTAAAGATTTAAGCATACATAGGAACAGACAGCGACAGCGACTTTGTTGTATACTATGTAATGATTAAGATATTGAATTTTAAAGAACATTAACCATTCTTAATCCTACCATATTTATGAAGCTGAGTGTACCCACAGCTGAGTGTACCCAGACGACTTTGTGTGAAGTCTCAATCTGGTAAGTAATGGCTTGTTCGTGCTACCACTTCCACGAATGTTACCATTTTTCATAGGGCTTCTTTGTCATATCCATTAGTTTAAAACCGACTTCCATATAGAAGAAGATTAGTATGTTTGTACCACTAGTAGTTAAAAATAAAGAATCTAGAGAATTCTATGTTGAAGTTAATTGTAGACTATAATATAAATAAATAGGAATATTATTTGTTTAAATAAAATTGAAATTAATTATATTTAAAAGGTCTTGTGCGGAAAAACAGCTCTGCAGATTCACATCCACTGCAGCATATGCTGAGCTCGGACCTTTTTTGGTGGATGCTATGACCCAGACACTCACACACATACACACATTCACGTAATTTAAAATAAAAATAAATAAAATTGGAATGTCTGTATGTAATTTTAAATTAATAGTTTGTTCTTGCTAATCGCTAAAACGGTTGGACCATTTTTGATGGGAATTTCCCTAGCAGATAGTTAATATTGAAAGGACTAACTTAGGTTTTATTTTAGAAAAATAAAAAAAAATTCTAAGGTCGCGGGTAGCGTTAATTTGACTACTAAAATTATTAAAATTACATAGATAATTACCAGAATTCACACAGACTACACCGCGGGAAGCGGCTAGTATAAAAACATCTAAAACGTTCAATTTCGGTTGTAATTTCCAGTGAATTATCTTTCATAAAATATAAAGTGCTTTTGAGCAACCCTGAAAGTTTCAAAACGGTTGATATTCCCTGTGAACTGTGAAACAAAGCACTTAGTACTTAAAACTTTTTTAAATGAACCTAAAAGTACCTAACAATCAGTTATAAGCGTATACTAACGATAATAACTTTTTTAACAACAAAGCCTTCGACTTTTCGATGTTTTCGATAAACATAGCTTTCATTTTTTTAACGGATGGTTAAAATCTGTGTATTAATTGTCAAAATATAATAATTTACTAATATTTTTGACTATAATATACAAATTCTTTTTATTTAATTTTTTATAATATATCTCTAATTTCAGTATGCCTTTTGGCATAGGCCTCTTCCAGCGACTTCCATTGATTCCTATCCTGTGCAACTCTTCTCCATTTTGTGCCCACGCCTTGCCTTCAACTCATCTTCCCATTTCATCATCTGCCTTCCCCTCTTTCTCTTTCCGTCTCTAGGATACTACTCTGTTATTTTTCTACCATTTTTCCCTATTGTCACGCATCATGTGGCCAGTCCATCACCACTTCTGCTGGTCTATTTTTGACAATATGTCTGTTAATTTCGTCCTCAACCTACGATCACTGTTCCTTACTCGGTCCAGTCTTCGTACGCCGATCATACTTCTCTCCGTAAACTTTTGGCAGGTGGCATTTTGCTCTACGAGTCTTGGTCAAGGTCCAAGTTTCGCAGCCATAAGTTAGGCATGGGAGTATGCAGGTTTTGAAGGTTTTTCTTTTGATTGCCATTACTAGGTCTTTAACTTCATTGTTTCCCTAAGAATCCAGTACTTTTTCCAACCTATAGCTATTCTCAGATTTATCTCTTTTGTAGTTTGATTCTCAGTAGAGATAACTTGACCTAAGTATATATTGTCTTTGACGTATTCCAGCTCCTCGTGTCCTATTTTGATGATCTTTGTTAATGAGTTAGTTATTATCTTGATTTTGCTAGCATTCATCTTCAATCGAACTTTCAGACTTTCAGACATTAATTATCATAACTTGCCCATCAAATGTTTCTTATGATTACATTTCAATATTATAAATGCGAAAGTTTGTAAGTATGGATATTTGTTACTCTTTCACGTAAAAACTACTGAACGAATTTTGATGAAACTTTACAGTAATATAGAGATAGCTTATGTATCAGAATAACACATAGGCTATGTTTTATATTGAAATTTAACGCGAGTGAAAACACGGGCACAGCTATTTATACAAATAAATAAAATTGAAGTGTCTATTTATAATTTCAAATTAACAGCTTTTTACTAAATACATATGAAAGTCCATATACATATATGAAAGTCCATATACATATATAAGACGGCCTCGGTGGTCTAGCGGTCTAGCACACCGCTTTACGTCCGATGGTCGCGGGTTCGATTCCTCGCACGGCACAAACATTTGTATTCATGAGTATGATTGTTTGTATCGGTCTGGGTATTTTCTATGTATAATATGTATGTATTTACGAAAAAAAAAATTATCTATGTATTTGTATCAGTTGTCGAGTACCCATAACACAAGCTTTAGTTAGCTTAACTTGGGTCTAGATGGCGCTGTGTGAATTGTTCTGAGATAATATTATTATTATTATATAAGCACTGATATAAAAAAAAAATTGTCTGTTCTTGCTAATTTGTAATGTGGTTGGACCAATTTTTAAATTAAAATTTTATAAATTCTGTCAGTCATCTGTTTGTTCCCTATAATCTATGAAACGGCTGGACCGATTTTGACGGGACTTTCACTCGCAGATAGCTAATGTTATAAGGATTAACTTAGGCTACTATTATTTAAGAAAAAACTTTTATTTTAGTAATAATAGAAGCTTATTTGCACGCGGAAGATGTCTTATTTTATTCAAAAATTAGCTGTTACCCGTAACATCTATTTATTTATTATTATTATTATTAAAATAAATAAAAATTATTCATGTACCAGATATTTTATGAATTAAAATCCTTACTAATATTCTAAATGCGAAATTAACTCTGTCTGTCTGTCTGTCTGTCTCGCTTTTACGTCAAAACTACTGCACCGATTTAAATAAAATTTGGTATGCAGATAGTCTAGACCCTGAGAAAAGACATAGACTACTTACTTTTTAAATGCGAAGAAAGGGTTGTAAGGGGATGAAAGGGGAGATGAAACGTTCTATGGAAGTATCGTCATTATTAAAGCTAGAAGCTTGAAATTTATTTTTTAAACTTTTGACTATTAATTGACATTCAAAGTTTATATGAATTTTACTCTTAAGGGGGTAAAATAAAATAGGGGATGAAATGGAAGTACCTCATTCGTCCTCTATTCCTTGCGAACGAAGTCACGGGCACATCTAGTAATATATAAATATAATAAAATTCCCACATTGTTTGCCAGTTCAATTACATTTAAAATCCATACATCTAAAGTCTACATTTTTATCCATATTGTAATAATAATAATAATAATCTCAGGACAATTCACACAGCGCCATCTAGACCCAAGTTAAGCTAGCTAAAGCTTGTGTTATGGGTACTAGATAACTGATACGAATACATAGATTTTTTTTTTTTTGTACATACATACATATTATACATAGAAAACACCCAGACCGATACAAACAATCATACTCATGAATACAAATGTTTGTGCCGTGCGAGGAATCGAACCCGCGACCATCGGTCGTAAAGCGGTGTGCTAGACCACTAGACCACCGAGGTCGTCAATTGTCAATGACGAATTGCAAATAATTAATAATGCAGGGTGCGCTCTGTAAGTTGTCAGTGTGGAAAATTGCCATCGGCGACTGAAGCTGCTGAAATTAATTAACAACATCAACATGATTTATTAATTACAGGGTACATGGAGCCTTGCGGAGTTGTGTGCG